GCCGCTCACTTACATCCGGCTAATCCCGTCCAGTCAAGGCGTCGCACAATGATCACAACGCCAACGGGCCAGTGGGCTTTGGGCAAGACGTTAGGTGCCGGCAGTATGGGTAAAGTAAAAGTTGGAAAGAACATGGACACAGGAGAACAAGTGAGTCTCGTAATGTTGCTTGCCCTCTGTTGCAGGATCTCATTGCAGTTCAGGTGGCCGTCAAGATTGTACCTCGGCAATCGACCGAAGAGCACCGCAGCTCGCGCGAGGCCGAACGGGCAGACCGCTCGAAGGAAATTCGAACAGCGCGTGAGGCAGCTATCGTCAGTCTCGTCAACCATCCTTATATTTGTGGTATGAGGGATGTAGTAAGGACCAATTACCATTGGTACATGCTGTTTGAGCTCGTCAATGGGGGTCAGATGCTGGACTACATCATCTCCCATGGAAAACTCAAAGAGAAGCAGGCACGCAAATTTGCCCGTCAAATCGCGAGTGCATTGGACTATTGCCATCGCAACAGCATCGTGCATCGCGACTTGAAGATCGAGAACATCCTTATCAGCAAGACTGGAGACATCAAGATCATTGATTTTGGTCTCAGTAATCTCTTCTCTCCACGAAGCCAACTCAAAACCTTCTGTGGAAGTCTTTACTTTGCTGCCCCCGAGTTGCTGCAGGCAAGGCAGTACACTGGCCCAGAGGTGGATGTTTGGAGTTTTGGCATTGTTCTCTATGTTCTAGTATGCGGTAAAGTTCCGTTTGACGATCAGAGCATGCCCAAGCTGCATGCCAAGATCAAACAAGGCGTTTTCGAGTACCCTCCAGGGCTCACTGCAGGTTAGTATCCACAGTCTATCGTGTGTCCTTGATACTGACCTCCAACACGCAGAGTGTCGTCATATTATCTCGCGCATGCTGGTCACTGACCCCAAACAACGCGCAAGTCTGACTGAGATTATGAATCATCCTTGGATGAACAAAGGCTTTAATGGCGCCCCTGAAAACTATTTACCGTACCGAGAACCTATCACCTTGCCTTTGGACCCCGAAGTCATTGAGAAGATGACGGGTTTCGACTTCGGACCGCCCGATTACATTACTGCGCAGCTCACCAAGGTCATTGAATCTGAGGATTACCAACATGCTGTAAAAGTCAGTGCCCGCGAACAACCCGCTCCAAGCTATACAGAGAAGAAGCGAGGGGTGTTCGATTTCTACAAACGACGGAACTCTGCCAGCAGGGACACGCTGTCCGCACCGTCCGCGGAAGCCGTTCAATTGGGCAACGACCCCATAAATGCCTACAGCCCGCTGATTTCAGTCTACTATCTGGTCAAGGAGAAGCTGGACAGAGAAAGAGCCGAAAAGAATCCTGGAGCGTTGGGAGTTCCACACGCATCCGGGGATTCAATGCTTCAGATGCCAGATCTTCCAGCACCGGAGGCCGCTCATACCAACCAGTATCACGTTCCGGGAGAGAAGGACAGTGGAAGAAGGTCGCGCCCTAGAGCACGAACGCATGGTGATGACGACTTGGCGGATGGTATCAAGAATCTTCACCTGGGCCCGCAAACCGGACATTCCCCGGGTCCTGCGTTATCGCAGCCCGAAACCCCAGCGAAGAAAGAAAGCACGGCAGCGGGTATTTTGAGACGGTTCAGCACGCGCAGGACAAAGGAGCGCAGCCGCGACCCGGAACGTGGAAGACTTGGCAGTCCCCACACCCCGGCACTCAACGTTCAGCCACCCGCAGACTTGGCTTCGCCCCTATCCAGAGGATTCAGTGTGAAGAGGACCCGACGCGCGGATCCATCTCCAACAGCTGTTCCACCCGGGTCGAATCAACCCCCGCAAAACGATTTCCTCAAGGCTCCAGGGTCAGCGGAGCCGGCTTCGCGGTCAAATAAGTTCCTGGAAAGATCCGCCAGCGTCAACTCGGCCGACTATCGTCCTCGTCGTTCACGGCGGAACGACCCTGACGCGACAGGCCAACCCCCGCCCAGCAGTGGATCAGACTATGCCAATGTACAGAAAGAGCCGACGGCTGCGAGGGAAACAAAGCTAGGTCGCGGCCACACCGCCCGGACAATGTCATTGGGGCATGCTCGTCGCGAAAGCATTCAAGCCCGTCGAGCTAGGCGTGATGCTACCCGAGAAGCAAATGTGCCTGAAGAGACGGATGCGGATATCACTGGAGCAGGCACTGCTTTGGAGAGTGCCAATGAAGGGGAGGACCTGTCCAAGCCCGTATACCTCAAAGGCCTTTTCAGTGTTTCGACCACAAGCAGCAAACCTTTGCCTGTAATCCGAGCGGACATCATTCGCGCTCTGAAACAACTTGGTGTCGACCACACGGAGATCAAGGGAGGCTTTAGTTGTCGTCATGCCCCGAGCATTGACCTGGATACAGTGATGGATGTTGGGCCACCAAGCCCGGACCGGCAGGGTCAGATTTCGGGCCATCGTCGGCGCATAAGTTTTGGAGGGTTGTTGAGCCACGACGAGGGCAGAGAGGAGTTTCGCCAGACGCCGCGCTCCCAGCGTCGGGCTCGAGCGCCACCTGACCACAGCTTTGTGACCACTCCTGAGGGCTCTGACGATGAAGCCGGTCCTCGGCCAAGTCGCGACCTGGGGGTGGTTGGAGAACGTGTAATGGGTGAGACAACGACACGAGTCCAGAGTGATACAGGAGAGAATCTGATACTCCGATTCGAAATCCTTATTGTCAAGGTACCTCTTTTCTCGTTGCATGGGATCCAGTTCAAGAAAGTGGCAGGTGGCATGTGGCAATATCGGGAGATGGCGAAGAAGATTTTGGACGCCCTGCGACTCTGAGTGCATATTGATCTGCATGATACGTTATGAACCCATTTGCATGCCGATCAAGGTTGATTTGATCCACGAAGCATTTGCATGAGCATGACGTTTTTCTTTTGTGGAACATTTCCTATGTCAAATTTCGGTTCGCATTACCTTTGAGCTGGCTCATCTATTTTAGGGGGGATGTTTTATCATGGTGTATACTAGACTTGAGCAAGGATGATCATGGACGCGGTGAGATCTTGTTCTTGTGTTGCTATCGGCCACTATTGTATATTTCGTCTCTTTTCTCTTTGCCTTAATACTTGATACCTATACAGTTGTCTGGGACTGTTGTACATAGGTCATGCAGGTAGGAGTAACTTTCAGACATGTGAACTAATACTGACAGGCATGTTTGTTACAACTGCTCAAACAACAAATAGTCTGTTGGCCATTAGACACACACGGGTAGCAGCATTCCAAAGTTTGGATATGCTTAGGTCAATGGAGAGCTTCTAGTGTGTCCCACGAACGGCTCACATCACGGTGCTAAATGAGGTTGAAGTGAGGTCGAACTGAGGTGCAGTTATATATACACTTTCCCTGGCATCAAGATTCAAGAAGTCAGCTTCTACCTAGCACAGCTTGAAGCACAGCTTGAACCATGCGCTTAATGATATTATTGAAGCTTTCAAAAGGCTGTTCAACAAGGAATACCGCAAGCAATTGAAAGGAATCATGCATAAGGCTGTAGTCCGAGTCTTTGTCGAGAGAGGCTAAGCCGTGTCGAGGCCTGTGAGGTTGACCAGTTGGCGGCTTGGCACGTCCCACATGTTGCCACTATTTTAACAACTACCCAGGCCACTAGAAAACAGACAATTATGCCAGAATTTTAAGCCTGACAGATGTTGTATTCTCTTGAAGAGTCATCAAGGATAAATCTAATATCGCTAAGGCCACTGCTTCTTCTAAGAATGCTTAAGAATATCCTGAGATTTTGACCAGGATGTGTGCTGCTTAGTCACAATCTGATATGTCTGCGCCGACAAATAACAAGATCTATAGAGGAGGATCACGTTGTGATCCTGCCCCACACAGAGCATTTATTTAACTTCAAACACATTATCTGGGTACAAGAGCCCCTGGCGATTGTCTTGAAACATTCGAAATGTGTTTATTTGTCTGGTGCTTGGCATATGTGCGAGACCAATGCTGGTTGACTTATCCATGTGCAAACGGACTCGGTTGGGCGGGTCGAAGCAGCTCGTTACTTTTGCAGTTCAACTAGGCCACTGATTGGCCAATCTAGAATACTTGCTGGGCGTCCTATCAGCACAGCCATCTTCCTATTCGATATTGGCCATTCTGGGGTTTTGACTATGTATTTGTACTTTGAATTTATTATTTGATAGAAAAATGCTGATCCCGCTTCATCAGGAGTGTTTGATTCTTCGACTTTTTGGATTTTCTATATAATTATCATTCACTTGATATTGATTAGCTGACTCAGCAGATTTTTTCTCAAACAGGCTAGACCATTTTTCAAGTCCTGTCTCTCTCCCTTTCCCTGAAAGCCATCCTTTCAACACCGCCTCAACACCGCTTTCCCTACATCTTGTCTGTTATGTTGCATTTTTGATACTACAACATCAGTGGTCTCTTGGTCTGGACTGTGGCTACCATGTCAGCTATGTTCATCGACCTGACAATAGACTCGGAGTCGGAGGAGTCCAATCAGGTGAGTTTGCTTGAGTCCTTTGGACTTTCAAATCTGTGTTTTTTTGGAGAGTTATCGCCTCTCAAGGATTCCCCGCTGGCTTGAGTATACCCGTTGCTATATTGCTATGTTGCTATATTGCCTTGCTATACAGCAACAGATCCCTTCTGGACTCTCTTTTGCCTATTTCTTTTCTATTTTTTTTACTATACCCTGCATACATTGTCAAAGTTTGTATCTTTATATATTTTTAGATCTCAAGAACAGCCCCTAAACAAGAACTGTTGTGTTAAGGCAGAATGCCCTGGTAACAGCAGCTGACTTGGGCTCTAGACACTATCTACAAGCGCAGCTTCACTCTCACGCAGCCTGGCTCACCGTGCACTTAATATCTCACAGTCAGTGCCGGTGAAGAGAAGAAAGTCTGACACAAAAGATGCATTCTCTGCTCTAGCGGTGTCAAAATTCTTTGACAGGTCGAGCCATCATGAGCCAGGGCGGCGTGTCTTCTCCCAGCCTGAGCCGATCAGACCAAGCTCAAGACGAAGCATCTCAAGCCAAGAGGCCCAGGGCGTTGAACGCAGACAGAGTCCACGACGTTTCAGCGCCTGGCCAGCCACTGCTCCTTCTGCCCTTCGTTCAGTAACCCCGGACTCTTCATCAGCTTCTACCCCCCATTCCACCATCCCAGATGTCCTCATTCCTACCCCGTCATCTCGCCAGTTGAAGTCTGAACTCCGTGAATTCAGCAGCGTCAACGGCCGTGCATCATCATCCTCATCATCCTACGCATCCAGACCAACCCCTCCCCTCCAACCCCCCACAGCCCTCTCGCAGACCTACTACCCGACCGACGCCTACCAAAGGAAAGCCATCAAGGGCGCTTACCCCAAGGCGAAGAAGGTCAAGCGAGCCGACACGCCCCTGGTTCTCGGCACCCCGGGCCCGCTGCTGACCCGACCCCCCAACGTCCGGCACCAGACGCACAAGACGATGGAACGCAAGCTGCGGGCCATCCGGGGACCCGAGGTCACCTACGATCCGGCCGCAGAGTCCCGCCTGGCGGACTTCATTATGAACTTCGAGTTCGTCAACACCAACCCGCTGCGCAAGGGCGTGGTCCCCGTGTCCGAGGAGTTCAACGCGGGTTGCACTTGCGTCGGGGCGTGCAACCCGGAGATTTGCCTGTGCCTGTCCAAGGAGGAGGACGAGAGCAACACGAACATCGTGCCGTACCGGAGAGCCCCAGACGACCCGCACATGATGGTGCTAAAGCCGGAGTTCCTGACACGCAAGGCCATGATCTACGAGTGCAGTGACCGGTGTGGGTGTAATGCGGGATGTTGGAATCGCGTGGTCCAGAATGGACGTACCGTGCGGTTGGAGATCTTCTACACCGGGGACCGTGGGTTTGGTAAGTGTCCCTGTGCTTTGGGCCAACCCAGCCGGTTCTTCCTCATGGTATGAGTGATGTTCTTATTCATAATTCGTCTCAATAGGCCTCCGCTCACCAGACCGTATCCGCGCCGGCCAATTCATCGACTGCTACACAGGCGAAGTGATCACCACCGCGGCCGCCGACCTCCGTGAAGCGGCTCACACAGCGCACGGCGCATCCTACCTCTTCAGTCTCGATTTCTTGAACGGCCAGTACGAAGACTATGAGGAGGACTCCAACGACGACGACGACGACGGCGACGAAGCCACCGAGTCCGGCTGCAAGTACGTGATCGACGGGCGTAACTTCGGCGGCCCGACTCGCTTCATCAACCACTCGTGCAACCCGAACTGCCGCATGATCCCTGTCTCCCGCAACCACGCCGATCGAGACCTGTACGATCTGGCCTTCTTTGCCCTGCGCGAGATCCCGCCGTACACGGAATTGACCTTCGACTATAACCCCGGGTCCGAGGGTGGCGGCGGCGGCATCGTCAAGGGCGCCAAGATCGATCCCAGCGCGGTGCAGTGTCTCTGCGGCGAGGCGAACTGTCGGGGCCAGTTGTGGCCGAATCAGAGGAAGAAGGGGGTTGCGGTGAGATGAACAGCGCACCCGAACTTGTTGGTCACTCACCTTGTATTCTTTGCTGCCTGCTTGCATGCCCTGCAACTGAACCTGCTGCGGTGCACCTAGTACATTGGCAACATTCTAACGGGTCAGTGTGGTACCCCCCTGAGGCGTTTGAGCAAAATGACCTGCTATTACAGGTACAGCCTGCGCTCAAGACAGAAAAGCGTTCATACATACCATCTTGTATGTCCGGACGTCTTTTGATACACCGATCTTGTTCATTCCCTTTGATCTGGATATCCACCTCTTCTGTCCTTGTCCACGCATGTCTGCATAGACCTTCCCGTGGCGCGGTGTTCATACTTTCCCCAGTTCAAGACACACATACGCTTACACACAACCTTGCACATTTGACCCTTTTGCACATGTTTTCTTCGACTCACGATACCCTAATCCTGTACGTACATTCCAGCCTTTTTGTTTTTTCGAATACGATTGAAGCCTGCATGTAGCCCGAGAGTCTTCATTGTCTTGTCTTTACGTTCTACCTATGCACATGCAGTGATTCTTTTCTTGTTAGTTACGATTTGAAGATGGATCTTCTGAGGTCTGAGGTCGGCAGTTTACCAAACGAATCGATCATCATACCCCTTTCTCAGGTACAAGTTAACTCCCCGCGTTAGATGCCAGCTCTCCCACGCTAGTCTCTAAAGGGTAGTTACAATGTGTTAATCCAGCCATCCAAAGGAATCAATCCTCATATCCAAAGTGTGTAAATTAGGTAGCTGTAAGTAGGTAGGTAGGTATATATCCCAGTACCCATCCTGGCAGAGTAAAGTAAAGTAAAGTAAAGTAGAACAAAAGCCGCACACATACACAGTCGACAAAGATCACAAAGCATCCGCCATAGCCATAGCCAGGAAACACCGAACTCCACTGCCGCCTGACCCTTGCCCTCCCGTTTCAACGCCCGCATACCCAAATCAACAAGTTCCAACCCACGGAATAAAAAATCAGGTAATTCCCATGCACAAACCGCCCACGGTACTCGCTATCCAAGTGTCAAACAGACCAAAAAAAGCGCCTCCACAAACCACGAGCACCTGTTGCATCGACTCACACAAGCCGCATTTAGTTGTAAACGACACAACCCAACCCTCAACCCTCAATCCCTTTGGCGGTATTGATCCATCGGTAGGAGTCTGTCCCCAAACCCCCAAACCCCCAAGAAAGAGTTTGCGAAAGAAGGAAGCAAATTCACCCCGCCAAAACCTCCTCGATCCCCTCAAACGCCGCCACTACCCCTCCCAGACCCCCCCTGCCGCTGCCGCTGCCGCTGCCGATCATCCCTATCCCCATCCCCATCCCCATCCCCATCCCCATCCCCATCCCTCCTATCCCCCCCGCCGCAGCAGTCCAAGGCAACGACGGTCTGGGCTCCAACATCCCCAACCCCACCCTCTCCACCGCATCCCCCGCCGCGCGGCCTTGTTCCTCAAGCAGCTCCTTCTCGATTTTCGAGAGGTTTCTGGGTCTGAGTTGGTGGTGGTGCTGCGACTGCAGCTGTAGTGGTCGAGGAGTGTGAGGCTGCGGATTCAGTCCCAGTCCCAGTCCCGGTCCCAGTGTTAGGGAAGGCGAGGGCGAGGGCGAGGGCGATGACGATCGGGAGAGTGAGGGGGAGAGGGAGAGGAGGGAGAGGGGTGGGAGGACTCGGACCTGGTGCTGGTCCTGGTCCTGCTGGTGCTGGTGCTGGTGCTGGTGCTGGTGCTGGTGCTGGTGCTGGTGCTGTGACTGCGTCTGCGTCTGCGACTGCGACTGCGTGGTAGGCGTCCTCGGCGCCGGGGTGAAGGGGACTAAATGTGGACTGAGGGGTGGGGTGGTGAGATCTCGTTGTTTGGTGGGTGGGTGGGGGTTGTATTTGTGTTGCGGCTTGGTGGTGGTGGTGGTGGTGGCCCCCGAGGAAGGGAAATGTAAGCGGTGGAAGGCGAATGGGGGCGGGGAGGCCGTCGAATATAGCGAGGCGGAGGAGGTGGAGGAGATGGATTCCGGGTTGGAGATGGGGGAGGAGGTTGGACTGGTGGTTGTGGAGCTGAGCGGGGAGATGGTGGGCGAGGTGGAGGGGGTGAGGAGGGTGGTGGTGGTGGTTCTTTTGGGAGCGGATTTCTGGGTGTGGGTGTGGCTGTAGTGGTGGTTTTGCGAGGAGGATGGCGGAGGGAGAGCGAAGGTGGTGTGGAGGTGGAGGCTGGGGGTAGGTGTTTGTGTATGTTGGGGTTCGTTGTGGGCGGACATGGTTGTGGTTGTGGTCGTGGTCGTGGTCGAGGTGAGTGAGGATATATGGGATGAGTAGTATTGATTGAATTATGGTGGGAGTAAGGTGGTAGGTGGTAGAAGTATGGAGAGTAGGTGTAGACTTTCTCCGTAACACAAGTAGACTCAGACTTAGTCTCAGTCTGATGGATCCCGTGTGATGAATCGAGGGTGATAGATCAACTTCAATCTCCGGTGTATTCGTGTACTCACTCACACCAGGTAAGGTAACGTAGCGTAGTTATAAGTCCGACTCAGTCAAGTGGAACGACCCCTCAAGGACCAAAAAAAAACCCTCATCCCAATACGAGGACACACAGACAGTAGTTGTAAAAAAAAGAAGTTGACTCCAGGTGATGATGACATCCAAGAGCAGAGCAGGGGCTGATCCATCCATCATAATATACGTAGTAATCCCCCACTAGTATAAAAGCCCTGCCCGTCAAGAAACTAACCGCAAACAGACACACTTCAACTCCCACTTCCCGCCCCGTTTCCGCTCCAGCCGAATCTTAACTTCTTTCCGACTGCAGCAACACCAACATTCTTCCATCTTGCTGGTCCCTGTATATTACGGGGTATGCAATTGATGATGACGGTTTCAAAAGGTTTTTCGTCCCGAGCATGGAGAGCACCCTTTCTTCCTCCTTCGGACTCCGTCTCAGTAATTTGGGGGAGTACGGAGTAGAAGTAAAGTATACTTACTGTACGGGCAGTACAATCCAATTGCCCGATCCGGGGCAAAAAGGCTCAGAATAGACCCACCCAAACCAGAGATCACGCCCTGTCATTCCAGCTAATCACCAGAATTCACCCTGCTCGCCCTGCTTCTTCAGGTTCTCTTTCTCCCTTTGTCAAAGAAGGAAAGCGATTCAATCTGCCAGTGCCAGGCAAAAACTTACTCACGTTCCCCCCCCCCCCCCCCAAAAAAATCAACTAATTAGCGATCCGAGCAATGACAATCATGATGTAACCAGTTCTTTTTTTTTTTTTTCTCTCTTTGTGTTTATGAATTCCGTAGTTTCTCCCAATGATGAAAAGTGATAGGTCATGCATTTGCATCGCATTACGTTCGATTCATCCACGTGATGGATCTATACCAAGGCAGGCAGCCCACCCAACAACACAACACAACACAACACAACACAACACAATACAGCACCCGACTGACTGGATCACTCCACTATGCTCTATACACTTCTCTTCCGTGCTTTCAGGTTCGGTTTTTGTTCTTCAGGGTCTGGATTACTAGAGGGGATGTAATTTCTACAAGCCCACAAAGGAATTCAGAATCGAGTCTTGCTGTACACTACTCTAAGTTAACACTGAATACACTGTATCAACTGTGTGTCTTTCTTTCCACATCGCCCAGCTCACTCCTCAAGATAAAAAATCACATCATCAACATCATCGTCACTTTATCATGATCCTGGCTCCTTCCCCCCCTTAATGTACATGGAACCTCTCTAGCATGCCTCCTGAAATACAGAATGTCTAGATGCAGAGCTAACAAACAGGAACGGTAGAACGCTAAACAGAAAATAGAAAGACACCAGAAAGCCCTACTCCACATCGGCACAGCCTCAAATCACATATTTACTCGCCGGACCGTCGTCGCTGCGTAAAACTCCGCCGGATACTCTCGCCCCACGCCGAGTCGCCCAGCGACTGCATCACGTCGTTGACGTTGGGCGGCCGCTCCGACGTCGCGCTCTGGATCTCCTCCAGCACGTCCGGCCCGCTGCCATACGACGAGGTCGTGTTGGCCCGCTCCCGCCGCGGCGACAGCGACGGACTGATGCTCGACCACTCGGTCGGCGAGTTCGCCGTCGAGATGCGCCCGCCCATGCTGGTATCGATCGGAGGCAGACCGCCCAGTCGGGACGGTCCCCCGCCGTCGCGTCGCGTGGGCGAGGTCGGGGACAGCATCGGCTGCAGGGGCTCCTCACCACTACCACTACCACCGAAGGGGTCGGCAGGACCAGGAGCCACGTGGGTGAGGGCCGTGGGCTCGTCTTGCGATCCGTCGTCCACGAAAATCTCCGGCACCGAGAACTGTGGCACCGCGCTCATCCGGGCCGACTTCTTGTGCTCCACCTTGCGGCGGAACTGCCGCGACCAGTACAGCGTGTCGAAAAACCCGATGACCGTCTGCCGTCGGATGGTCTCCTGCACCCGTTGCAGGCGGGCCCGGCGGCGCAGGAACTCCTCGAGCCGGAGACTTTTGCTATCACTGATCACGTTATAGTGCGCCAGGATCATGAGACACGAGTGGAACGAGATCCCGCGCACCGGGTCCGCAGACACCAACACCTCCTCGTAGAATGAGTTGAGCTGCTGTCGTCGCTTGCGGATATTCTCAACCGGGATGCGCCGCAGGATGCGAGACATCTTGTCCAGATCAAGCCCTTCGACCACTCTCCGATGCGCAAGAAGCGAGTCGCGCCTGTCAACCCGACATTCTTCCAGAATCTGCGGGATCGTGAATTCGCCGTCGTAGATCCGCATGGAGAACATACCGGACAGCTCTCCCAGCAGTCGCGGGAACTGTTCCTTGGTGATGTATCCCGTTCCATCCGGATCGTACGTAGCCCATGCGTGCTTGAAGCGACGGACATCTTCGCGGCTGATGGCGTAGAGCCCGCTGCTCTTCTGATACACGTACGAGAAACTCTCGAAGATCAGGGACGTGAACAATGAAACAAAGAGATACATGCTGATGATGTTCCACGCAATGAAGAGCGAGCGAGCCCACGGGGCGCTGCCACAGTCATCGTCGAAGTAGTTGCTGCTGTACGTGCAGTAGGGCGGTTCCATGGTCGCGAAGTCTTCCATGACCTCGTTCCATCCCTCACCGGCGCTCATCCGAAGTAGTAGAATCAGGGCGCGTGGGATGTCGCGAAAATTGATATTGTCGCTTTCTTGAGAGCCGAATTTGGTCAGGCCAAACGCCTGGTTCATTGCGATCGCGAAGACCAGGAACAGCACAAACCAGGTGGCTAGCAGATTTCCAATCGCCGTGAAACTAGCGGCAGCCGTCTTGAACAATTGGTCCAGCTGATTATTCCGGGGGATGATCAGCAGTGTAATCGACACAAGGAAGAGTTTGTTCAGCTCCGAGACGACATGGCCCGAGTTCGCAAAGGTAAGAATCGTCGTGATCAGTGTTCCAGGTACCGAGATCAACGAGTAAAGGTCCCAGGAACTTCTGCTGAATCGGTGCCAGCCAAGGCCAAGGATTCGGATCGCTACATTAGCGATGTAAACGATGTTGAACGCAAAGAACAAGATCTGTCGGATCGTGTTCCACAGATGGGCCTCCGGGTAGAACTCCAAGACCAAAAGTAGAAGATGAAGCGTAAGAATGCAAGTTACAAACTTTGCCCATCGGCCGTGTTTTTTGACAGCCACGCGGTAGCACCACATCTTCCACTGTTTGGTCTTGTTGTCGAAGGACCGCTTGGAAGGGTTGATCTGCCTCAGCAGCTTCCGCAACTCCAGCCACGAACGCTGTTCCGCGGTGAGATAGGCTACACCTGTCTGTTCTGTGTAATTGCGCATGAAAACAGACACAAACAAGGTCAAGACAAAGACGGCACCGAGCAAGTTGAACACGATGAAGAACAGCCCGTTCTCCGGCGCAATGTAGTCCTGAGGCTGCTGTCCGACCCCAACGATGCTCATTGCACTCTGCTGCACATCAATCCACCCTTCTTGGGAGACGATCTGGAATAGAATGAAGAGGGAGTCTCCGAAATTATCAAAGTCGTAGTAGGGGTTGGCAGCGGCTCGAGGCGCAAGCACATCCCAGTTGGAAGGAGAGCTCATATACTCGCCAATGCAAGCGTCCAAGCTACCTGCTACATCGCCATCATTGCACTGGACCATCCGCCCAGCGAAAAGCGTGACCCCATAAATAGCGAAGGGGATCAGAAAACTCATCGAGACCGCAGCAGCCTAACAACGTTAGCATTTGCAACCATCCTCGTCGGCAGTGAACCTACAGCAATGACCTTCCATCCTCCAACGATGATGACCGAATGGAAAGTACCCTTGGCACTATCACTAACGTTCAGCAGTCGTAGAGCTCTAAGTGCTTTGAAAGCCCCGATCGCCCGGGTCAGACCCCAGTCCTGATACAATGAACCTCCAACACTGATCCAAAGAGTGATCAAAACGATGCCGTCAAGAAAGCCCCATGAGCTGCGGAAGTACGCATTAGGCGTCCAGAAGAATCCATCAGCAATGACTTTGATGAGGGCCTCGATCGTGAACAAGATTGCAAAGCCCATATCCGTGTAAGTGAACCAGTCTCGGTTATTTTGGAAGTGAGTGCTCTGGTAAATCGGAGTAGTAATGCAGGCCAGCAGAACCATGGCGACAATGGCGGCATAGATGAAAGCGGAGAAGGTAAACCAGACCGGCTTGTATGGATCGACCCCCTCCACTCGCTGGGTTCCGCGTCCGGGTCCGACCATACGCTGGCAGAACTTCCGGACTGCGTTATCCGGCGCAAATATGAACAATGACTTGTTGTAATTCGGGTGGCGCATTAGATACTCGCGTTGAGCCCGTTTTCTCTGCTCGGCGGCCGATACGACCTCCCGAGCCATCGTCCTCGGATCCAATTCATCGTATGCTCGCGAGAATTTCAGCTTGGAGTAGAATGGATTGGGCTCTCGGCGCATGACCGATGTCGCGAATTTGTTCCAGGTGCGCGAGAAGATACCAGGCTGCGACGTCTCCGCTGTAGTCGTCGTTTCCAATGGCACGCTTTCCCTTCGTTCGGACTCTGGCGGCTCCTGCTCGTCGAGGAATTCCTGCACAACAGCATCCTTCAGTAGCATCTCCAGCGCCGCTGGCCCGTGGTCAAGAGGATCCTTGTAGCGCTCGGAGTTCCGGCCCATCATCAGGATCTTCGACAGGGACAGGTTTCCCTGCGAAGACATGTTGACTTGCTTCTGCTCCAAGAATGACCTGACTTGCTGGAGCCGCTTCTCATCCTCTGACACATCAAAGCTTTCCTGAATCACAGCAATAAACATGTTCAGAACGATGAAACAGGAGACAATGAACCACATAATCAAGAAAGTGGCCGAAATCCACGAAGTCTTGTAGGCTTCCGTGTATGCCGTGGCGTCGTACAGGATGTCTGTCCAATTCTCGCTAGACAGGATCTGATACATCCCCAGGAATGAGTTGTAGATGTCAGAGAAAGTGATGTAAATGAAGTCTCCGCCATCATCTTCCTCAGGTATTTGGCCACGAAAGAGCTCCGTTGCGAAGATGGATGCAAGGAAGGTGATCAGGAAGACGAAGACGATAAGATTCAGCAATCCAGTAGCATTGCGGAAGACTACCATGATAAGGTTCCTGGTCACTGTGAACGCGAGGACTACTCTGTACACGCGAAGAATTTGGAACATCGTGAGAACATCATAAACACGGGTGTTCCTGATGACAGGGATTTGGATGACACAAGTAACAATCACCAAACCCAGGTCAACCCAGTTGCGGGCTTTGGTATGAAAGTTGCGCCAGTCCGAGGCGAAGCGCAAGAGAATCTCAACCAGGAATACGATAGTCACAATAATCTCTGTGTTGTCAATAAGAGCCTGGCGGTCAGCGCCCATAGAAGCACTTCTTTGGGCTTGCACGACCAAGTCAAAGATGATGATACAGACCCAGAGCCATTCCGTCTTGTCGTAGATGCGTTTGATAGTACTTATCTTGCGGGCGGACGGGTCCTCCTTGTCGGTCGAGTCTATCTTCTGCACGGCGAATGCACTGCGCTTGCTTTCTTCGCGGATGACTTGGAAGGAGTGCGTAATGACCGCAACCAACAAGTTGACCATCCACAAACTCAGAATGATCAACCCACACACGAAGAAAAGAGAGGCGGCTAGGTAGTCACTGTCGGTGGTATAATAGAGAATATCCGTAAATGTGTTCGACGTCATGATCACAAACACAAGCTCCAGTGAGTTGAGGATGTTGTCAAAGCTCATGGTCCCATTGTAGGGGTTGTCACCTTCAATGCATAAAGACCCTTGAGGACAGATGTAACCCTTCGGGCTGGAAGTGGTGGGAATCCCGTCAGCGCTTAGCCATGGCATATTATGGCCGTTGTTAAGGTAGCCACCGCAGAATTGTTCATCCTGCGTATAGTTGTCTTGGCCATTCACCCCGATCCAAACACAAGTTCTCCGCAAGCTGGACTTGAAGCTCTGGATGCCCACAATGGCAAACAGGAGCCAGAAGAAGCCTATGAGAAATGCAACGTGCACGAGCAGTGGCGCGGCCTTCTTTAAACTTCGCAGGATGATCTAAATTGAGTTAGCCAGATGTCGGCTGTACAGATATGAGTGCCAGGCTTACAGAAGTACCGTTCGTCAAAGCCAGAAGACGAAGGATTCGGAGACAGCTGAGCATGCTAAAGACATACAGCTGCTGGCGAGTCTCGACCCCATAAACCGAGAGGAAGAAAGAAACCCAATAAGCAATCAACGCGACGAAGTCGAGACGGTTGAACGAGTGGCGGAGAAAGGCACGATGAGCCAGTCTCACGCGACTTTTCTGCAACGGATCATCGGCTAGTTGGTGCTCCAGTTGATGTTGATTTTCCAACTGATTTAACCCTCCCGTGAACGTACGTATAATCGAAGCCTGCGGCTGCTCCGGAGCGACGGATGACTTCCTCACTGAGAACTGACGTTGTGGGATGACGAGGTTTTTCCCCTTTTCAATCACGGCTTTCCTGAAGCCCAATGATCGGTCAATTGTACTGTACTCAGCAGGGTTGATGATTAAGCCGGACACCAGAATTCTCGCGCCGACCTCGAGGGTATAAATGATGAAGATCGCTAGATAAACATAATCCGTGGGGGCATTGCCCCAATTCACATCGCGAGGATGACTCCAAACGGAACGAGATGACTCGACTGTCAGTAGGATTGTCTGGATGAAGATCACCAGCAGAATAAAAGGCTCAGTGAAAGGGTGAACCAAGATGTCGCACAGCCACATTCGGAGAGCATTGTTCGGACCCAGTAATCCCAGGGACTTGCCCCTCAACGGGTTGCTGACCTCGCGCCATGCCTTGCTATTCGAAGGTAGCTTTTCGTGATGATGAGCCGCCGGGCTGCGAGGCGTGAGGGGAGACGGTGTATCGTGCGCATAGTCTGGTAAAGACGGCAGGGCCGGCGGTTCCTCCATCCGCGCATTCTTGTGCGACTCCTCCCTCAATATAGACTGTTCTACGACCTCCGACTCGTTACTAAGGTTGACAATACGCTGAGACATCGACTTCATCATCGAGCTGGCTCGCTGCAAAGCCGACCCGGGGGCCGAGGGAGAAAGCGAGCGCGATCTTTCGCCGGGGCTGCTCAACCCGCGCCGTCTGCCCTGAAAGCCGCCCTCCAGGTCGTCGCCTAACCGTGCATCCGGATTGCCCATAGCAGCGAACTGGGCCGAGGGCGCACCGTATCCGTCATTGTGGTGCAGAATGTCTTCGGAGCTGGAGGCGCCACCCATGGGCTGTACGTTTCGGATATTCGTCAACGGGGTCGTATCGGTGTAGGTATCGGTGTGGGAGAGATAATTCTCAGCCCCGTCAAGGGGAACGGTGTCAAGGTCTATACTGGAGCCATCGCGGGTAGGTTCTGGCGTGAGAGAGGCACGGTGGGAGGGGTCGAAGCTGAGTCCGACCGAGGAGATTGCTTGGGCGAATGCGCCTGGGTCATCGATCGTAGCGCCTTCGTCCTCATCGTGGTGATGCGGGGGCACGACGGCCACCCTGTCGATCGGAGAGTCATGCGCGATGCGCTCGTAATTGATCCCGCTTCGGCCTCTGCCAGTCAATGACCGGCTCAGTCTGCTCGCAACTCCACCTGCAGTAGTCCTCGGCTCGAGATCAGAGTCGAATGGTCCAGAAAGGTCCTGCAAGGGAATTGAGTGCTGGGAGGAGAGATGTTCGTCGTCAGTGCCGCGGTCATGGCTGCTGGAGGCCATGGGGGGCAGTTCAGATGCGCTAACCGAACGCAGACATCGCAGGCCGCTGCAGGTCCAGAGGGAGTCGGGAGGAAAGGAAGACGCAGGGCTCCCAGACAGCAGTTGAGAGGTGCGTGCGAAGGTGCAAATGCAGGGGAAAGAGAAGAAGAAATTCACCGCTGGAGGCGGAGGGTGCGGGAAAAAGCTGAGAATTAGTAGTAGTTCGAGCAAGCAGTGTACTGGTGGACTCGTACGTACGAGTACGTAGGCGAAACAAAGCAGTCTAAGGTCGAAAGAGTCGAAAAAGGGCTGAAAGGTGACCGGGGTGGGCTCCCCGAGCGGAAAACGTGGGCCAGGATCCAATCAAAGCTAGTGTCCGACCATGATGAATTCGAAATTCGATCATTAGAATGGAACACTCAGGAAGTCAGACAGATGGGGAATGGAGGGCCCAAATTGATCGTGTCTTTTTTGGGGTTTTGGGGGGGGGGGGGGGGGGG